TTTACGGGCAAACGTAACAGTATTCGAGGGTACATCTTCAGGATTTGTCAAATGCTAAATCGTGATACAGATTTTGAATTTTTTGGAATATACAGTAAATAAACATTCCTCGCTTAGAAATTAAAAATCAAACTTTTTATTTACTGCACAGGTAACGAAACACGTTGGCCATAAATACATTCAGAGATCAAAATTAAGCCTCCTAGAACAAAACAAACGTCTTTTGTCGAATTTTACACAACAATGCAAATTTGACAGATCTGGAAATCAGAGAGCAATGTTTTGCATAGAATAAAATTAGCTTTACAGTGGATTTGAACTACTAATATACAATATTGTTTTTATTTTTCCGGTGAACACTATCTTAGCACATTGACGCTGAGGTTTGATTGCTTCTAGTTAACCTTGACCACACTCCGCGGAATTTGTAAGCAGTTCCAAAGTGTGACTGGGGTTGCTTAGATTGTCTAGTCATTTACCTGATTAAGGTAAGGACAATTAATCGTGTGTCAATTTAGTCATATGCTGGTGTTATTATACATGAGGAAAATTCCTAACCAATCTACTTTTTCAAGTATGTTGCCAAACTGAGTTTTCGGCGTTCCAAATGTTTAAGTTTACGTGATCATCTCTCAAAAGTGAATATGTTATTACAAATGCCAAAATTGCATCTCAGGATTTGTTTGATTTTTGATGAATTATTTTTGATATATTATAACATTTGAATCCTTAAAAAAATTAGTGTTTCAGCTATCCAGAGTAGCCGTGACTACTTTCCTGCGCTTATCTAATTAACTGAATGCCCCTTCACTGTTTTATTGTAGAATGTCTCATTCAACAGATCAGCTCTTCTTTCTCAAAGATGTTCAGGACCTTTATCGCACGATTGATTCTTCGACTGATGGTCAAGCTTCCATAGTGTCCGTGAACGAATTGTCGGTGGTTGTGTCGTTGAATCCCAAATTTGGTCGCAATGCACACGCTTCGTTTATTGTCAATGTGAATATTTTTGAAGAATGTCATTTCAACTGGGTTCTTTCCTTATTTGTGGAAGCAGCACGTGTCCTAATGTCATGCAGACTGCCTCGTAAATTACGAGTACATGGAATTTAGACAGTCAGTCACATAACTGCGACAGTCATAGCACGTTTATCTATTTTGGCAACACAGATAAAATTAGCGGTTTTTTGAAGTTTAAGTAAGTTTGCGTGGTCATTAATAAGGTGTAAATGGTTCCTTTTTACTAGTTTTATTTCAAAAGACTATCGTGGGTTTACTCTTCTGTGCATATACGATTCAGAGTGACGTGGTGTTAGTGGCTGCACAGCCTAAGTGATAATCTGAACAGCTGTAACACATGTTATTAAGGAATGTAGTTTTATGGAAAAAAGTCAAAAAATTGTTGAAACCCGCTTGTATATTTTGCATAAACGACAAACATAAAGCTGGCGCTTTTTTATTCACTCAGATTTTGTGATGCCTTACAGATTTATTGCCCATTGGCTTATCCGAAAGCCAGTCCTGATGTCCGATTCATTACACCAATCTTTCATCCCAATATCTACAATGGCTATGGTTGCGTTTGCTTAAGTCTTCTCACCAGATGGCATAGGTACGAAATACTTTAAGTGAGCATGAATTATTGAGTCTGGCCGTTCTTCCCTTTTGTCACTTTTATGTCTGAATTTGAAGTCATGCGTACAAATATCAGCTAAGATGTTGTTGACAAATGCACAGCAGGCTTACGTGCTTCATTACCCAGAATTCAACCTCTACTTTAGGACTTTGGTCTACGAATGTCCATAAACAGGTGACATTTTTGTAAATTGAATGGAGCTGCAATGTGGTTGCAAGTTTCCTTAAGGTCCCTCCACTTCTCTATTTTCACTTGTTGCAAATTCGAATAATTTTGCGCAAATTGACAGCTGTAGTTAGTTGTGAAATTTTCGTTGAAGCATTTAAATTTTAGCTGTTACAATCTTTTGGATGTGATCAAGGCCCTCATTTACCTCATTGAATATCCAAATTTTGAGTCAGCAAACAACGCATTCGCATCTGATGAGAAGCTGTTTGACGAAAAGACATTGCGGCTGCTGGCAGGTCTGCGTGTAAATGGGCGGCGGTTCGCGCCTAACCAAGCCTGGTGTGAGTGGGCAGAGGCCAATGGATGCCTGCCTGTCGATGACGAAGGGCTTGAAGATGATTTGGACGATGACGAAGGCGCAGTGCATGTGGAGGCCCAAAAGGAGCCGAACTACCACAATGAGTCTCTACCTGGTGTTGCCACCTACGCACATGATGCAAGTTAATAGTCAATAGCATCGTAGTTTGAAGTAAATTGCTAGTGCTAAATGGGGCATAAGTTTGCTACTTGCTGACAAAGTGCTTGCTGCCATTGATTGGCGCTTGGGTAATCCGAGTTCGGCTTAGGTTGGGTTTGTCAAATCCGCTTCAAAACGATGCATTCATTAGAGTTGTTTTTGTATTTTTCACGTGTGCTTTACTTTGAATTTTATTTGTCTGCAGGTTGAGGCAGATGAGAAGGCCCATCGCCGCTTCTCGGATGCTTCCTCTGAAACCTTTCCTTCTTTCGCCAAAATTCGATTCTCTCTGGATTCTCTGAGTAGCACGTCATTGTGGACATGCTACACGCAGGATTACCCTTGCAGCTACTTTAACACGCAGCGCATTCTCATTAGCCAACCAAGTATGAACACCAAACCTTCACCTCCTTCGGTATTCTACTACGGCGAGCTCCTTGGTAACCCTGACTATCGAGGTGAACTGGGTGATCACTACAGCACACTGTTCACTGGCGACGTTTTGCACGCCATGCAAGTCCACCCCGAATCCAGACAAACCTCCTCTCCTTGTCCCTGGTACCACTATTTTATCAGTTCCCACCAGTCCTACTGGACCAACGATTCTGTCTTCAATCTGACCAATCTGTTCACATTCACGGAACAACGGAGGCCTTGTGGAAGTAATTTTTCACTTGATGACGATGATGGTGAAAATTTGGTTCAGCTCTCGAGTAAAGAACTAGAATATTCTCCACAAATTTTCAAATCACATGAGATTGCCTTTGATGCTGAATATGAAGAAGAAAAAGAAATTGAGATGCAAAATATGCCTGTCAATGGTGCCTCGTCACCGACTTCGTCGACAACTTATCACTGCTCACTTTTCGAATATCGACCTCCCAAAAACTCCTGGAGGTGTTTTTATGATTTCAATGAAGCAGCCATATCAATGAATGTTCAGTTGCGTCCACGGTGGCATTGGATGTTTCGTCAGACACGATGGCCTCTTCGATTTGCGCCACAGCAGAATATCGAGCTATCCATGAATGGAATCAGAATCCCGCCTTGGCGAGCGAGTGCCGGACGACCGCTGTCGGATGTCAGTAGATTTTGTTCAGAACACCGTGAGATGAAGAACCTTGTTCTTCTTGACCCCATGGTTAATTTCCATCTTCTTTTTTGATCAACAGTTGAAACGCGGCGTACTTTTGTTCTGGTGAAAGAGCGTGATTTGACTCTAAATGATTAAGGGACTACGAACTCAAGGATTTTTGACAAGTCTTTATTTAATATCAAATAGTTTTCATTGATGTAATATCTCAACATTTACAGTTTCAATCTGCGCTGCTGACCTGCAAATTTTGTCTTGGCAGGCTTTGTCACCGCTCTCGCCACTGCTCAATCTGATGCGACTCTCCGTGGAACCAAAGGCTCACCTGACTGGTGTTCTGTGGATGACCCCAGTTGACGCCCTTTCCCCCTTCTACCGAGTTCCAATTCCTCATAAAGATGAAGAGGTGGATGAGCACGTCTATCCGCAACCGGGTTATTTGCGATTCCTCACTTTGACCGCCTTTGTGTCCAATTGGATGGCCTGGTTCTCTCGAATCGAGGCATACTCGTCATTGGGCATATCTCGTCACCAGCCATCCCTAATGTGTGAGTCCATGTCGGGATTTGTGTTGGTGCCTTGGAGTTTGGGATGCGGACAGTCGCCACTTATTGATTTGTGGCCCCTTTGGTTGGGTAGGAGACTGCTGAACCTCCTTCTCTGTTTTCCACCAACTAGTGGTAGGGCCATCTCGCGACATTTCTTCCCATTCACAGATTTGGATGAGATATGATTCTAGTCATTTATGTTAGTCTTTTTTTCCTAAATTTTTGCTACCTCTTTTTCAGAGTAAACATTTTTTTGCTTTTTTGCTTTTCGATACAATATCTTCTAATTTAAGACACAGTTGGTGGAAGTAAAGTTAGGACTTGCATCACAATCAAGCACATTTGCCAACCTTGATGGCAGCAGATTCTTTGCATAGACCATAATTTATGGAACTAGGAGATGTTACTCAATTGCTACACGCTGTCTCTGTTTCCAGTCACTGACACATTTAAAATGCACTTGATTACTTTGTATAGTTAATTAGCTAACCTGCAACCCCCACACCTGCAATGACATGACAACACCATTAGTACATCTGTCCGAAAACATCAACACCTGAAGTGTGTCAGCCAGTTTCATTGATCTGTTCCTACGTTGCATGAT